TCTCAGGGTCTATGCCTGGTTTAAGTATAAGCGTAAGTCTTGCCTATTTAATCTCTTTGGGAAACATTTGCTTCTGGAGGAGTTTATTGAAGATCCTCCAAATTATCTCAGGATTTTTTTCTTTATACTGATCTTTATCACCTCAGGAGGAACAGTATTAGGAAAGCTGCCTTTATTAATTTAAAACATTTCATCGCTATTGCTTTTTCTTTTGACCAAAAAATCGTCAGCTCGAACGTTGACGTTATTTTGAGTGAACTCTTAGCTTAGCTTAGCAAGTCCGGGTTTAGCTGAAAATAGGGTATTAGCTTTTTGCTTAAGGTTTTGCACAAAGGCTGTATCAGGCCTCTGTCCCTAATGTTTTTGTGACAATTCTATAGGTTTCACCCAATTCTTAATCATTTATTGCTGTGTCTGAGTTCTGACAGCAAGCGTCTTCGCCCGTTTAATTTCTTAACTCAATTTCTGTTTAGTTTTCTTGTAATTTTTAGAGTGTTGTGGGATCCTATAGCTTTGTGCTGTTCACCTAAGACTAAAACTTGGCTCTCTTGCTTTAGATCTTGTCAATAAAACAGTATAGAATTGTATATGTGACATACTCGGTGAAGTTACTTAAGGTGCATGCGTTAATAATTTTCTGTCTAAAATCTTGGAATTTGGTAGTATTATCTTCTTGTAGGTTACGTATCTCCCTCGTAACAGCTTTTTTATAAAGGTTACTTTTTCGACCGATCTTCGAGACCATAATATCAGTTTCAAGGACCATGTATCTGTGAAACACCTCCCACCCCACAATCTTCCTGGCATAACTTTCATTCACAAGGGCTAATATCTATGTGACTTCGACTCACATCTCACAATTGTATATTTTCCATTATTTAGCACTACTAGGCAATACATCAAATAATTCTTCTTCTTCTTCTTCTACTTTTTGTAGATCTTTCGATCTGTTTAATTCTGAAGCTGCCTCTGGTTAATTTCTTGGGAGGTAGATTGCCAACTATCCCTCCATCTTTTAGGTGGTCTTCCGGGGGGTCTTGAACCGGGCGGATTGTTTTCTAGGGCAATTTTTGGGAGTCTATTCTCATCCATTCATCTTACATGGTTGTACCACATCCTCTTGCGCTGCCTTCCCCATCTTACAATATTTTGAATTTTGCACTGCTCTCTAATGTTTGTATTTCTCACTCTGTCTCTTCTTGTTTTCCCCATTATTGTTCTTAGGGTTTTCATTTCGGCAACCCTTAGCATCTGTTTCGTTTTGTTGGTATCTTCGCGCACTTCTATGCCATATATCATGATCGGTCGTATGCAAGTCTTATAGATTCTAATTTTACTATCTGTGCGTATATACGGATTTGACCAGACTATCTCCCGCAGACATCCTGACAGTGCAGATGCTTTGTTGATCTGACTCCTCAGGTCCTTTACTGGGTCGTGGGTGCTTGATATATCTATGCCCAGATATCTGAATTGCATCACCTGTTCTATGGGGTTGTCCTCAACCACTAACTTACATCTGAGCGGATCTTTTGCTATTGTCATACATTTAGTTTTGTTGGTAGAGATGTTCATATTTAGTAGTCGGCTTGTTTAAAAGAACTGAAAGAGCTGCCTTTGGAGATCATCTTCTGATTCGGCAGTAATTGCTGCATCGTCTGCGTAACACACCATACCAATTCTTTTGTTGCCCATTCTATATCCGAGATTAAGAGATGTTACTTTGTTGATAATTTTGCCCATGAGAAGATTAAACAAGAAGGGGCTTAAACTGTCGCCTTGTCTAATTCCTCCCGGTGTTGGAATATTTTCAGTGAATTCGTCTCCTGCTCTAACTTTGGTTACGTTGTTGTTATTTAGGTTATGGAGTATCTTTGTTATACTGGTCGGTGTTTCATTTTCTATTAATATATTTAGAATGTCTTCCAGGCGAACTCTGTCAAATGCCTTCGTCAAATCAATGAAGCAAATATACGCTTGCATGCCGAACTCTATAGCTTTTTATTTTATTTGTTTTATTATAAATACTGCGTCTGTTATAGACCGCCCTTTTGTAAAACCTTGTTGTTCTTCAGCATTAGTGATTTGCTTTTCTAATTTGTCCTTGAGAATACCCGTGAAAAGTTTCATTGTTGTATTTAAGAGGGTTATTCCGCTATAGTTTTGTGGGCAGATTTTTTGTCCTTTTTTAAATATGAGGATTGTAATACTATTATGCCATTCCTCTGGTGCTTCTGTTTTGTTTAATATTTTGTTAAATAGTTGTGCCAGTTTACTTGCAAGTTCCGGGCCTCCATATTTTAAAAGTTCATTGGGTATACCATCCGTTCCCGGTGATTTTCTGTTTTTTAGCTTTTTGATCTTTGCTTCTACTTTTTCGTCATTGATTGTAGCACTCACATCTGTTTCGCCTTCGTTTATATTCAGCGTTTCTTCAGCATCATATAGCTCTTTAAAATGCTGTTGCCATGTCTCTATAGGTACTCCTTTGGTCTGCACGAATTCGTTAACTGGTTTTTTCCTGTTGCGGAGCATTTTCCATACTTTCTTTTGGGCACCATATAGGTCGTAGTCCATGTCGCAAGTGAATTTGGCCCAATGTTCTCTTTTGATTGATTTTATTCTGGCGTTTACTTCATTTCTTATTTGGACATATTCTGCATGAGCTTCTTCCGATTGCGTGCTTTTATATCTCAGGTAGCATTTGCATTTTAATTCAGAGAGTTCTTTTACCTCTTGGCAAAACCACAGTTTGGTGTGGTTTGTCGCTCTCGTGTTAATTTTCCGCTTTCCAATCGCTTCTTCTGCTGCTTCGTTGATGCATTTCTTAATTTTTTGCCAAGTATCTTCTACTCCCCATTCGGGTTTTAAGTCGATCTCTTTTAGTTTGCTGGTAATCCTGTTCTCATAAAACAGTTTTGTACTCTCTGTTGTTAGCGACTCTATATTATGTTTTTCGATTAACATTGGGGGTTTTCTGTTTCGTTGCGGACGTTCTAGTAGCATCTTGCATAAAACAAGGTTATGATCAGTCCCCAGGTTAGCAGATGTTAGTGCTCTGACATCAAGTACTTGTGACGGAGTTATCGCTCGATTTGTGATTATAAAATCTATCATTGATCGCTGGCCTCGATTATTGTTAAAAGTGTATTTATGTTGGTCTTTATGAGGAAAGTATGTATTGTTGATTCTCATTTCATTTCTAGCGCAAAAGTCTATTAGTGCTTCGCCGTTTTCATTAATTATTTCTTCATTGTACTTCTGTTTTATACCTGGTATGACAACGTTTCCGATCCGTGCATTAAGATCCCCGAGTACGATAATTTTGTGTTTCGTATTTATGTTATCTCAGTTATACAAAACAACTATACAACCAATAGCAACATACTGCAGTGAGACGTGGACAATGACAAAAAATGAACAAAATCTACTGGAGATATGGGAAAGGAAAATCTTGAGGAAGATATATGGAGGAATAATAAGGGACGGTTTATGGATAAGAAGATCAAATGATGAGTTAAAGAAATTATATAATCAACCTAACATAATAGGAGTCATAAAGGCACACAGACTAAGATGGCGAGGTCATCTAGAAAGGATGCCAAATACGAGGACTCCAAAAAGGGTACTAAACTACAATATAACTTCAAAAAAGAGAAAAGGAAGGCCAAAAAATAGATGGAATCAGGAGGTAGAAAAAGATATGGAAGAAATTGGACTAGACGACCAGAAAAGAAAAATGAATAACAAGAAGGAATGGAGAAAAGTCACATATCGAGCCAGAGAAGATCTCAGTACATAAAGGAAAGCGAAAATGAAGAAAGAACAAAAATTTTTTAAGCCATGAGCCTCTAAGGCCTTTAGTGCTATTGTATATATATATATATATATATATATATATATATATATATATATATATATATATATATATATATATATATATTTATGTTATCTACGACGTTTTGTAGTTGCTGATAGAAATTTTCAGTTTCTGCTGTGGGCTTCGATATGTCTGGGGCATACGTGCTTATCAGGTATGTTGTGATGTTACGCATTTTTATAGAGATTTTTAATAATCTATCGTTGATGTATTCGATTTCTTCGATGTTTTGCGTGTATTTATCGTGCAGCAAAATTCCAACTCCTGAATGCGCTCTTTCTTGTTTAGCTTTCCCGCTGTATATGAGTATAAATTCTCCGTATTTTGATGTTCCTTTGCCCTTTTTCTTTGTTTCGGAGATTCCGCAGATGTCAATATTGTGTTTCTTCATTTCTATTATGATCTCCTGGTCTCTTCCGTTCCACGACGTAATGTTCCAGCACGCGATTCGTGTGATGGGGTCTTTAGGTTTTCGTTTACCAATTCGTTTTTCCATTGTCATAGCGTGTGTTGTCATCTGATATTTCCGTCCGGTATCCGAGGTTCAGTTCTCAATCAAATAATTGACTTGGCATTTACGTCGCTAGCAAGTATAAAGTCCCGATGTATTTTGGACGTCATTATGATATTCTCGACTTGTTCTTTGTAGCGATCAGGTTGATATTAGGTGGGATAAAGCAGACAATGATAGCCAGATATAATTTTGATATGCAGAATATCTATAAGCGCAAGTTTGATGGAAAAGATATTACCACTATATTCAAGCAAAACCGTCTGCAGTGGGCAGAACATGTAGCCTGGTCCCCGAAATCAAACATAATAAAAAGTATTTTATAGCGTAGCAGATCAAAGCAGAGGTGGATAGACGGGGTAACACAAGATGCTGACAAAAAGACAAAGCAGAATTACGCAGGAAGCTTCAGGAGGTCGAGGACTTCTGAGAGTTAATGCATCGTAATGATGACGATGATGAGATGGAAGAAGAGCTGTAGGACTAGCCTAGAAAAATATGAAAGGATAAAGCTAAAAAGGATCTAGAGCAAAAGGCTTTAAGACAATGGCATATAGTGGCACATGTCCAATAACAGCACAAATAGAAGGCATTAGTAAACGCGACAAGGATTCACGAAGAGTTTTATTAACATTTATGATGATAATGATAAACTATTATTATATAAAGGCAAAAAACGTTACATTAACAATTTTTTAGCAGTTGTTTATTTAATAGCTACATAAAATTAACACACGCCACGTCTCAATATCCATAACCATTACCGTAATTACCATATCCTCCATAACCTCTAGAAACTACTCCTCCATATCCTATTCCATAAGATGCAGATGCGACAGCTGGAAGACCAACAGAGGTAGCAACAGCGGGAACTGCAACGGAAGCTACAACTGGAGTTCTGTAGTCGATGCGTGATTGAGAACTGATTCCCGAGTTAACAGAAATAGCTGGAGCCACTGCTAATGCAGGTGAAGCGATAGCACTTATTCCATGGCCTACTAGTCCGGGTCTAGCGCTACATATAGCGAAAAGAGTACCGAACAACAGAAACTTGAACATTTTCTTGATTAGGTTTATTTGGTTGTAGTTTAACAAACTGAGTGATAAATATACTACACGTTAGTTGGGTATTTATAGTAAATACATACAATGATATGTGATATGTTTTCAGTAAACTGTGGCGAGATATATATTCATTAAACTAGATTAATGGATTGAATTACATGAAAATATTGCAGTGTCCACATACTATTATTAAATTTCAGTTTGTACAATTATGTTAACGGGTCAGTTACACAAAACCTTATTTAGAGAATTTTTTATTTAAAGATAAAGTCGCATGAATGTAAGCGACAGGTTGGTATAATAATAATATGTATTGTTTATACAGTATATAGATTTTATAAGTATGAATATTTCTGAATTAAATAATTACAATAGTAATTAGTACAAAATCGTACTTTAAATCGATTAATATTGGACATATATAAATTTAAACGAAAAAACTAGATGTTGTAAAATCAGCTCCCTATGAAGCTTTTTGGTTTACTGTTTTGTCCTAATTAGAATTAAAGTTCTTTATGTTTGAATTTGTCGCATTTAATGATAATATGTTTTTAGACAAGCTGAAAAGCTCGGATTCTTTCGGAAACATATTCCCATGAGAATTTTTACATTATCACTTTCATGAGATACCCTAAAATAAGGTTCAAGAGTTCGCACAGGCGAAAAGTTGTTTTTTAATTTTTTTTTTAACAAATTGTGGCATACTTTTTCGACCCGGATAATTTTTTTGAATTTATTGGATCATTTTGAACAAAATAAGTGTATTTTAGTTTTTTTGTAAACTTGATTGTTTCCGAGTTATAAATAATTTAAAACAGAAAAAACACAAACATCCGTAACAGATAGGCACCCTAGATCTTTTCCTGTAATATAAGTTGCTGCAGGTTATATCTATGGTCGTTTCGCATTATATGTCCCAAATATTCTAGCTTGCGCTGTTTCACTGTGGATATGCTTTTACATGTTTTATCCGTCCAACGTAAAACCTCAATGTTTGTTACTAGGTCCACCCAGGAGATCCTCAGTATCCGCCTATAATACCACATCTCAAACGCCTCGAGTTTTCACATGGATGCCTCGGTTAGTGTCTATGATTCAACCCCATAGAGCAGCACTCTAAACACGTAGCATCTCAATAAACGGATTTTTGTTTTTAAGGGTAGGTCGTGGCTCTTAAATATCTTACTCATTCTGACAAACACTGACCTGGCTTTTTCAATTCTCTGTTTTATCTCAACTGAGTAGTCCCATTAGTCGTTTATGGTGGTTCCTAAATAGTAGTAACGGGGCACTTGAAGTATTGGTGGCTGATCTACCAGTAATTAACTAGGTGGAATATGCTTCTTACTGATGACCATGTACTTTGTTTTCTTGATGTTAAAATTAAGCCCGTACTCCTGACTGATTCTCCACAACTGCGTTACCAGTGTCTGTAAACCTTCTAGATTGTCTGAAAAGAGGATGGTGTCGTCTGCATATTTGATATTATTTAGGCGCTCACCATTTATGAGAATAACCTCTTCGATATGCTCTAAGGTGTGACTCATGATGTGTTCCAAATAGACGTTAAATAATAGGGGAGAGAGTATGCAGCTCTGTCGTATTCCTCTCTTTATTGCAACTTCTTGTGTTAGTTGGTCTTTTACCCGAATGGTTGCTGATTGGTTGTAGTATATGTTCTTGATTACTCATGGGCTTTGTTATCTAGATCAGCAGTTGCCTTTAGTATATTTATGAGCTTATCGTGCTTGATTTTGTCGTGAAATACAAGTAAAAAACATTATTTTGTAATTTACCACGGATCTAAATTCAAGTTCAAATATTGTTCTAGCATTTCCCAAAAAGTATTTTGGGCCTATTTTAGTCTAAAATATTATTTTTATTCGTTAATGAAGCACTTATGTATATAGAGAGAAACAAAATCGGGGCACAAATTTTTGCTGGTTTAAATTCTCATTGTACAAATGAGTGCCTACCTGCCATACTCGCTTCATTATCACTTAAAAAATGGTTTAATAGTTATTTATGCACCAACGGAGTTATTAAGATATTTACTCCTAGAGATCAATATAATCCAGTTAGCGGGCCTCTGACCCGAGGGATGAATGTTGTTTGATGGGATTAATCATCCGCTAACACCAGTGCTACATACAAAATTTTATTTTTTAGTTCACATAATCTAAAAAATAAAATTAAGGTGCTTTTAGTTTTTATTTTACTGCACCTTTATATATTTTCTTCTTCTTCTTTTTCTTCTCCTTCTTATTCTTCTTCTTCTTCTTCTTCGTGGTCTTCTTACTTATCGACTTCCTCTTGGGTAACCCTCTCTTGCCATCTTTACTACTCTATTTGTTGTCATTCGGCTTATATGATCGTTTCATTCTACTTTTTTATTTCTTATCCAGTTCTTGATGTTCTTTGTCTTACATTTACATCGTATATCTGTACTTCTAGCTCTGTCCCATAGTGTCTTACCATCAATTTCATCAAGTGTTTTCATCTCTGCCGTTTCTAACATCCTTTTTGTCCCGTCTGTGCCTGCTCTTGTTTCTACCGCATATGTCATTATTGGTCTGATGCCTGTTTTGAAAACTCTGCCTTCTGTTTTTTTTTCAGTTATTGTTATTTCTCCATATTGTTTTATTTAGGATTTATGCGGCTCTATTTCCTCTATTCACTTGATCTTCCACTTCAGTTACGAGCTTTCCGTAGCTAGATAATGTGATGCCTAGATAGTTAAACTCCATGACTTGTTCTATTATCTGACCTTCCAGCTCCAATTTACATCTTAGTAAATTTGCTGTTGTAATCATGAATTGTGTCTTTTTGTGGGAAAATATACATGTTAAATTTTCTGGTGGTTATATTAAATTGGTGGAGCTTACGTTGTAAATCATCTTCACTTTAAAAGAGTAGTATTGCGTCGTCTACTTAGCAGATTAATTTAAGTTGTTTTTCTCCCATTTGGTATTCTTTTTTAGCTCTTACTTTTTTATTATTTTATCCATAATCAGGTTGAACAATAGAGGACTCAGGGAATCTCCCTGCCTTATTTTATTGCCAGCTTTAATAGGGTCGATTAGTTTTTCTTTTACCTTTACATTTATTGTATTGTTTTGGTAGATATTTTCAATCGTTTTGATTATTCCTAGAGATATTTGTCTTGCGTACAGTAACTGGCTAACGTCTTTTTGTTTACACGAAACATAGATATGCTGGTTTGCTGTATTCTAAAGATTTCTGATAAACTTGCCTCATTATAAATGTAGCTTCGGTGCATGATCTTTCCGAACCTTTCCAAACCTTGTTGTTTTTCTGCTAGTGTCATAATTTCAATCTGTTTATTTGTTGTCACTTTGGTTGTTAATTTTGGTATCGTGTTTAATCAATTATTTCCTCTGTAATTTTTTGGGTCCGATTTGTCTCCATTTTTCTTCTTCTCCATCGTTTTCGTGGTCTTCCTACTGATCTTCTTCCTATTGGGTAACCGTCTCTTACCGTCTTTACTACTCTATTTGTTGTCATTCGGCTTATATGATCGTTCCATTCTACTCTTCTATTTCTGACCCAGTTTTTGATGTTCTCCACCTTGCATCTATGTCGTATATCTGTACTTCTAGCTTTGTCTCATAGTGTTTTACCATCAATTTTTCTAAATGTTTTTATCTCTGCTGTTTCTAACATCCATGTGTCAGGTCTTTTTTCTGCCGCGTATGTCATTATTGGTCTGATAACTGTTTTGTAAATCCTGTTTTGAAGAGAGGTATTAGGATGCTTGATCTCTATTCTTGAAGAATTTTTATTTGTTCTATTATTTTTTTGATTTGTTTTAATATTTGTTTAGCTAGATCTGGTCCTGCGTACTTTGGGAGTTCATTCGGTATTCATTCCTCTCCTGGTGATTTTCTATTTTTTAATTTTCTTTTTGTTCCTTTAGCTCTTCGTCCTCAATATTTATTTCTTCGTTTGTCGTCACCTCTGGTGTTGGTGGTTCATTATCGTCACCTTTAGCAAATAATGATCGAAAGTACTCTACCCATGTTTCCTTCTGAATGTGTTTCGTTTTTATTAATTCGTTCATCTGTTTTCTTTGTCCTCTAATCATTCTACATATTTTTTTTTGTGTTGCGTAGAAGTCGATTCATTTAGTGGGTGTATCTTCTTCTTCTAGTTCCATGACCGTTATCGATCGTTGTATATCATGTTGACTACCATATTCGCTATCGTGACTTTATTGACAGCAGCTCTAAATAACGATGTAGTTGATTTTCCATACCATTGCCTTAGATTTTTCAGCCATGATATTCTTCTTCTACCAGGACCACGATTACCTTGGATCTTTCCCTGAATGATCAGATGTAAAAGATCATATTTTTCAGGGTGTCTCATAATATGACCGAAGTATTCCAAAAAACGAAGTGGGTGTATGCCTGTTGTATTTGTTATGTTCTGTACAGTAAAAAAGCTTTCTTATTTTCTTCACATTTTGTCCTCACGTCCTCTCTAAACCACGGTGTTTTGTTTTTTGATGTGTTAGTCTTTGTTACTTTTCTCTCTCTCTCTAAGTGGTTCTGTTGCTGCAATAATAATTATGTTATTTTTGAGTTTTTCCCAGCTTTCCTCGATCTTATCGTTTTCTAATATTATATTCCCAGCGATCTTCTCTGATATTTATTCCTTTAATAAGGAAAACCTTTATATATATATATATATATATATATATATATATATATATATATGTATCGGTCAGATAGCTCAGCGGGCTGTGCGGCTGCCTCTCATTCGCTTCACTGTCGAATGGTTCACTGGATCGAGCCCCAGCTCGGTGTACAGAAAACAAAAAGTCTAACGCAGCAGTTTAAAATTCTAGATGAATCTGCGGCTTAGACTAGAATATGCTGGGATCTGATCGGCCTATGGTGGAGCAGTACGGCAAGAGATAAGGGCTTGCGGCTCGGTGATACTCCTCCATAGATCCCTACCGGACGGGCGTAACGCCTAAAAAACCGGATATATATATATATATATATATATATATATATATATAT